TCCGTCGTGACCCCTCCCGCTCGCAGAAAGTAATCTACGAGCGTCTCAAGGTAGTCAAGCATATCTAACTGCTGCTGACTCATTGGAAAGCCTCTTCGCGCCTTATCTGGCGGCCACATAGTTTGTCCCAGCGTCAGCCAGTTCAGGGCCACCACCAAACGCTCCATGGCCAGAGCTCTCGTTTGCAGGAATGTGTGCTTGCGCCTGCGTCTTGGGAGAGCTTCTTGGGCGATGTCCATCGCCCCCAGCGTGGGGGGGGACAAGGCCACAGGTCAGACTTTGGTGTCAGTCTGCCATCGGTGCGGAGAGGAGCTAGGCTGCGCCGAGTGAAGGCAGCCAGCGCTCCTTGCTGTGAGGCGACAGTCAGCGCCGATCTGAAAACTCAATGCAATGAATTCCCTCTGGGAGGGCGCCGCCATTGTCAAAAACGCCGAAGTCAGGCATGATGTCGCGCCCGGACTTCCCCTCCATGCTTATGAGATTTTTCACCAGCCAGAGATTGGAAATCCAATGAATTAATTGTTTGCTGTTTTTTTGTTGTTTTTTTGCTGTTTGCATTTGCTGTTTTTTTGCTATCGTTATTTTGTTGCTATTTTTTTGGCATTTGGCATTTGCATTTTTTTGGTGTTTTTTGGGTATTGTGGATTTTGCTGCCTGACGCCTTTGCTGAGGAAAAGTGTTGTATTGTTATTGAGTTGTGGCTTTGGTGGGTGATTTCAACAGTACGTCCTTTGTGTTTGTTGCTGGTTGCCTTAAAGCGCGTTTGCATCCATGTGGTTTGTTCTTTATCTTTGCTCTTCAGTGTAAAGAACATCTGGGAAGGCAACTCTCATTTCGGAGACATTGGGACAGGCTGCCGCCCGGTCATCCCAGACAACCGAAACAACAGGACCTGCATTGGTTGGAAGGATTAGATTAAACAAAAGGAGGGATGGCCAAAACAACGCTTGGTGGAATTGGGGTTCCCTTTGGGAATGGCATGGGGGATGGCAAATTGGAATGGCAAAAAAATGGCAAATCCTCGAGTTTTTGCCATTTTTTGCTATTCCTGCAATTTGGTGGTTTACAAAGATTTGCCATTTTTTGCCATTTCAAAACTTTGGTTGTTTTGGTTGTCAAACAGTGTGCCATTCTTTTGCCATTCTAGATTTTGAGGATGAGTCAACACCACAGGGGATGCCAGGCAGAGTTTTTGCTTTATGTGGACGGCTGGTGTTGGGTATTCCTGGTAGTAGGGCCACTGCATAGGGCAACTAAGAACTACTACTGAGCATACATTGCATCTATATACAAGGGGGCTACTGGATTATTGCCATAAAGAAAAAGCGTTGCCACATGTTCTATTCATGATTTTTACATGCTCTTGCCAATGCTCTTGGCCTCACTGGTACAAGTGTGAGAACTCTGCGCTGCTGCAAGCGCTGCAAGCAGGGGAACCAAAAAAAGAAAAACATTGAAAACACACAGTAAAAAACAGCAAAACAGAACGCCAAAAAAACAGCAAAAAAAAGAAACAGCAAAAACAATGGGAAATCAGAATGCATAAAAAACAGCAAAAAAATGCGAAACAATTCAACTGGAGCTGACCCAGTCTGTGGCTATAAACATCTCATAACTCCATGCATTCTCTTTGACTCGCGAGCTCAGGTGACATCTCCTCCACCGCTTGTGTACTCGCTCTGTCCTGCTCAACCCCACGATTAAAGGTAGCGGTCGGGAAACAATCCCGTCGCTCTGGTGTAGAAGAGCCTGGCAAAGGGGTCTCACAGGCCAGCTGAGCACGCGGGTCAGAGCCACCTGGCTGTCTCATCCTGTGGTCGAGGACGAAGGATCGTCCTTCGTCTTCTTCTTGGGCTTCCAGGGCTTGCGAGGCTTGGTTTCCTCGCTGCCTTCCTTTCCAGGTGGAGCGACAGCATGGGCCTGATTCGCTGACTTGGTCCTGGAGTCTAAGAAGTCCAAATCCTTGAGACAGGCCACGTTTGCTGATATCCAACTGGGCTGAGCGAGTCTGGTGAACGGCACGACTCCCCCCCCGCACTCTGTTCTTTTTGAGTCTGAGCAAAGTTCGGTTCCGGCAGGGAGGTGGGAAGCCAGCTCAGGCTCGTACGGCCTGCATCGTTGGCAGTCTGGTCGATGAACATCAGGCTCCGGCAGTTGCCGGACCGGAAACCTATCTCCCATCCATTGGCCTCAAAACCGGTGATCTGCGAGAGGATTCCGTTTCTCTATGTAGTCTGATGTGGCTGCAGAGCGTCTAGCCCCAACTCGTCCGAGGCATTCTTCTGAACGACCTCCCCCAACTTTTCGAGGTCCGCAGCGACCCTGATGAAGGCTTCCCGTGCTAAGCATCCTTTGATGCCGCCTCCAGCTGGGCCGCTTGGAGGTCTTGCAACCCTTCCTCCAGCTCCAAGGCAGACGTTGCTTCGAGTCCCTCTTCCTGCTGAAGTGCCTCCAATGTCTGTTCGGGCCTGGCTTCCTGTTGGATTCTTTCGTGTGCTCCTAGCCGAGTTGGAGCACCACCGGCCAGCTGTCGAACCCTGCCTCTGTAGCCGTGGTCGGCCTGGCCCCAAACAACACTCCTTGGTTCTGTTGTCCCCCTGCTGATTCCGTTCTTGAGAAACCAGGCGTCAAGGCCTCCTCCTCGGCTGGAAGAGGCGTTGTTGCCTCGGCTGGAGGCTCCTCCTGCAGGTCGGCATCTTCGGCTGTTGCATAGTCGCCAGCTGCGTCGTCGTCCATCACTTGACTCATCCAGCTTTCTGCAGCAGCTAACAGGGACCCAACCCGGCATCTGCCGGCTTGTCCATCCACGCTGAACTTTATCAGCTCGAGGTTTTGGGCGCTTCGTAATGAGTGAGCCCTGATGAAGCACTCTGCAAGCTCCCAACTCACATCGATCATCACCACAGGAGGTCGACTCCATCTCCACTCTGCCTAGTGCACTACGGCGGCCTCGCCGCCTGCATCCAGCTCCAACTCTTGGTCTTGGAAAAAATGCACCACATCTTCCTGATCTGGCACGGCCACCATAAATCCCCCATTTCTCACACGCACCAAAGTGTGCGCTCTCAAAACTGTGCCTTCTGGCCGAGGAGGAAGCTTCACAAACAAAGAAGGCAGGGCGCCTCCTGGCGCTCGGGCCCTGTGTAGGGCCACGATGGCAAACTCTGTCAATCCACCCACTGCAGCCTGAAAGCCTGAAAGCCCAAATGGTACTTGGCAAGCAACCCGCACGTGAGGGCCCGGCCGATGCGAGCGGCAGGCGTCCACCCGCCTGGTGAGGATCGCAGTCTGGAGAACAAGTGTCGGGCCCCTGATAGGTCCAGACTCTCAAGCTCCTGCGGCGTCACCGCAGCCAGCAAAGCCTCTTGCCAAGGTGCACTGCCGTAGGGATGACTCACTGGCGCCTCAACGAGGGTCGAATCAGTAGCTCCCAGTTCACTCAGCTCTTCCACCTGAGAGCTGCGAGCCCCAGTCGTCGGGGCAGCAAGGGCACCCGAGGTGGGGGACCTTACCACAGTGAACGAGGAGAGGCCCGATCCACTTTCCACAGCTTCTTCGCTCTGACCGTCACGAGCGATCCGGATCCTAAGACCAGCAATAGAAACTGTGACCTCGTCGATCTCGCTTGGCTGGCTCATGCACTGGTGTCTCGATACTGCCCTAACCTCCTTCGGATAGCCAGCTCTTGCGCAGCACCCTCAGGGGTCAACCAGCCTGAAACCACCAGGGACCCAAACAATCGCAGGCCTCGTCGGCAGCTCGGTGACCAGGCGCAGATGGCCAGGCAGGCTCTGAGACAGCAGCCACCAAGGAAGGCGAGGACGATCGCCAGTAAAATCCAGCCCCACGGGCAAGAACACGGAGCGTGGAGCGGCCACAAGAACCGCAGTTCACGGAGGATCTCCGCAAACACGCTCCAGGGCATGCGCTCTTTGAGCCAAAGAGCTTGAGCGGCTCAAATGCTTTCCTAGCTCATGATAGGTGAACATATGCTTAACCTGAGAAGCTTAGTATGAAAGCCAGCGGGCGACTCAGCGGGTCTTTTTCGGCAGCAACAGCCTACGGCCATCTGCGCAGGAGCCTCTTTTTGGTAGAGCGCATAGGGACTCACAGGCTTCAACCCATAATGCTCCCGAAACTCGAAAAGGAATAGTTGTCGCGCAAACGCCACAGAAAGAAAGACTTCGCACATAGAGACTCACAGGCTGAGAATTCAAGTCTGCCGAAAACAGTAAGGACAAGGATGCCAAGTTGCCAAGTTTGAAGGCAGTTTTTTGGAGTGCGTTTCGCCGACACAATAGTCCGTAGATGTTGATGGTGTTCTCTTGCAAGAGGGCTTTCCATGCATTGAAAACAGTCTTTGCTGCACAGGATTTAGCCAGATGATGTCTCAGATGCCTCAAAATTGCATTCTTCAATTACAAGCAACTGGATAGTGGATCAGAACTGACTCATGAGGTCTGGTGCTTTCTGATCAGTGGACTTTAGCTTTGAGCTCAGGAAATCCAGTTATTGGCAGGAGTGAGCAGGAGCCTGAACGAAGGATTGTCAATTAGGGAGGGTTGAGCATACCAGGGACTACACAATGTCCTGCATCCTTCAGGTGCCCCAGTAGTTGAGGAACTTCATATGGGGTATTGGCGAGATCCAGAGTGATATTGCAATACCGGAAAGACTGCATTGTGATTTGTCATGGGTTTCCTGAAAACAATGCAATGGCGAGCGATGTAAGTCTTGACCAATTTGAGGGGGGTTGTTGACTGTGAATATCCTTCGACCGAAAAGAAACACTCTGGACATTGTTGGCAAGAAAAATGCAGTGGAGGGAGGTGCAATCAAGACCCCACTATCATTCGGTGCATCGGATTCCTTCTCACCAAAACGTCCACATCCGCAGGGCGGATGTGAACCCCTTACATCTCTTAGGCCAAGAAAGAACAAATTGGAATTGCATTCGGCCGCAACTTCTCTTCAAACATCTTGCTTGATGGCTGAGCCACTGAGGACAATTCCGCCAGGTCCAATTGCCCTAGCTTTGGTGCTAGAACCTTGCCATGTTGAAAACTCAAACAGGAACAAAAAATCATACAAATGGTCCAAATACCAAGACGAGATTGTGGCCTCCGCCAGCATGCGCCAGTCCATGGCATGGTTGCCTTGCTGTGCACCAAGCCAGGCCAACTGAGCCAGGTCCTCGCATTCTCTCAGAATCAGGTATGGACTACAGTATGTAGTTCAATTGCAAGATGCATACTGCGTTTTTGCTGCTTATCCTCAGCCGATTCAGCCTTCAGTTCCTTCAGATCGAAGGATGCTGGAGTGTAGCCTCAACAAACTGCCCGCAACGACAAGATCTTCTTGAGCTCTCCTAGCCTGTGGTGGGAAGTTCAACCCCTTTGGCATCGACAATTAATCCATTGGATCGGCCCAATAATACGCATTTCCCGCCGCTAGCTGGATTGATGGATCGTTGACCTGTATGCCGAGATACCAATTCCAACATGTAACATACGAGTATGACTGGGATACCCCGATCAAGACATGACTGGGGAGACACCATGAAAACGTGACCGACACATCATCAAAATACGACGGGGATACCCCCCGCCCATCACAACAAAATTGGAACAGCGGAGCGCCCAACCCATGGACCTATGCTCGCCCGACCGCCTAGGGCCTATGACACTTGTCTGTACAATGCTTCGCACTTTGGGGAATAAAAGCGGGTTGTTCATATTATTAAGCAAGTCATCTGCACGATAAAAGCTCATGTGTATTCCTGGCTCTGTTCAAGCCCAATTTCCGAGCCAAGCAGCTATTGAGAACCACGAGGCCTCATCAAAATCAAGAAACATTTTCCTGGAAACTGGGTGGTGACACTGACACCCTGGAAATGCTGACAAGACTATCCTGCTGAACTCTGTGGCCACGAGGCTATGCTGCCACTGCCCGGCTTTGCTGCTGCTGCGTGCTGCTGAACCCAACTCCACTCGGGCAGGCTTAAGGTCCCGTTCCCGCGCATGATTCAGCAGGCAAAGTGCCAAGGACCAGGAACCTGCCTGGACAACTTGAACGAAGCGTCATCGAACCAGCACAAGGGAAAGCAAAGAGCCTTCTCACAAGCAGCCAAGCTCTCCCGAGTCCGGATGGCATCAAAGCCAAATGCCTGAACAAGAACCGTCTCACTGTCTCGACAGTATGCCAAAACACAAGGCCACGATGCACCCCACTTTCCCTTGACGTATTTTGTGCAGGAAACTGATCCTAGTTTCAAGGCTGCAGCCGAAACACGATGGAAAAAAGGCAACCTGGTCACTCAAGGGGCAAGGTTCACAAAACAATTTCAGATGTCAAGGGGAGCGGGCACGTCGCTCCCTCCAAATCGAACATATAATAGTCACTGAAAAGCTGCCCAACAAAAGTTCCACCTGCACACAGAAAGGATGGTTTCCCACGAAAGTCCTACTTTGCCAGAAAGATTAGTTTGGAGAAAGTTTCCAAAGTTGCGCCCCACCCCCCAGTGTGCTCACCCCGCCTGCAGCGAAAGGCGCAAAGCCTTGTCCCAACAACCTTCCGTTGACGATAACAAGTATGTGCAACCAGACCGCCAAGCCCAATGCAGCAAATGGCTGTTGAATCACAGCAGGGATACCACCTCTGCATTGTCAATGGGGGGCAACGTCCACCATGTGCAAAGTCTACATGTACTGCAAGGCCAGCTTGCCAAGCAGCCTGCTTGTGAAAGCACGGCCATGGCCACGTTGATGCTCACCTGTCAACATGAAGGTTGGTAAGTATGTGGGGCAGGTTCTAGCTGGCTGGTGCTTCGAAGTTTCTTTAACCAGTTCGCTTTGACAGTCGGGCCCACCCAGCACTTTGAGCCCAACCAAACTACTGTATATCACGGCGCTTGCAGGCGGCAGGTATTTTTTATGTTTCATGTGTACATTGGCCAACTGTATTCCACACATGCCAGAAAATGCCACCTAAAGCGGCCCCCCACAGCAACATAAAAATATTCCTGCATACAGAGAGAGAAGGGAGAGAGAAAGAGAGAGGGGGGCGTACGCTGTGAAGGCCCCTCCTTTGTGATGTTTTTTCACAGTTTAAATGCCTGAGAAGGGAATGAAAGCCAGCCTCCGTAAGGAGATGCAAATGGGGTCAACGGGGGTGAATGCGAGAGCGCAGGGGAAGCGTTGGGAGGCATAAGGAAGGGCCAAAATCACCGGACTTGTCTTCGGGGATCGGGCGCCTTTCTGCACCAAGGCTAGCTTTCAAAAACGAAAAATATAGAATGACAAACGCACGGAGCGGAGCGGACCTTTTCTCAAAGGTGGGCTTGGGCCACTTCAGCCCGGTCGTGTTCATGAACTTGCGGATCGACATGCATGGAGTGAAAACTTCTGACACCCCACCTACAAAGCTGCATCCTTTGCAGTCTTTTTCACACTTGGCCATGTCGCGCAAACCTTTCTACTTTTCTTGCCAGCTGTCTTCCCACTGGCTCGACATGACCGCAACGCAAAAGGCGGCGAAGCCCTTTCTGTACTCATGGCCCCAGTTCAAAGCATGGTCAAAAGCAATGAACAGGTACTCCAAACTTGCACGTCGGCCTGGCCTGCACATACTGGGTCAAGTCGTGCTTTCGGCGAAGGTTATGCCTTCATCAATCTCCATCTGGTCATTTCCGGCTTCCTCATCACGTACAGAGGCCGTAGGCCTGTAGTGCCTCCTGTAGCCGTGTGTCGGGCCCGACATGAAGAACTCCTCTCCACTGCATCTTCTACTGACTCCAAGAACGCGGTATGGCCTCAATCTTTGGGCTTCTGGATCCCGGTCTGTGAGATATTGCTCTACTGCGACTTCTCCCTCATTCTCTTCTTGTTCTCTGCTTGTTCTTCCTCTCTTGGTTTCCTCCTTGATCTTCCGCGAGGTTCTGCACGGCTTTCACCATGTTGTGCATTTGCTGGCTCACTTCTAGGTTGCTCACTTCGAGTTCCACCTCTTCTTCTCCTCAAGGGCTCTGGCAATGGCGGTGGAGGTTCACGAATCCACTCACCTCCAGTAGTCTCAACTGAAGCTGCCACTGCCCATTCCCGAAGATCCCCTGCAGATCTTCGATGCTCTTGATCTCCTTCTCTTCGAAAGTCTTCAAACCAGTCAGTCCTCACATAGGCAATCAACGTTCTGTACCACCATCTGATCTTTCTCCTTTTTGAATAGCCCACAAACATGCCAAAGCCGAACACCAGGATCGTGTACGCCAAGAACACCAACAAGACGTAGAGGCTCCATCCATAGCCACCATTGACCTGCTTCCTCAATGGTGAAATTTCCATCACTTTCGTTGTCTGGTACCTGGTAGTCCATATACTCCAGGTTGCAAAACCTGAAAGGAAGGAGTAAGGTAACCATCTTCACCATGGGCTTTGAGATCTTCACCTTCGTCTCATTGTTCTCCACCGAGATGGCGCAAATCATCTCATTCTTCACCTCCTTCATCTTCTTGGCTAGGTTCTTCTTGCGCAGCCCTTCACGAAAGGCTTCGTCTCCAACATGGCCAAAGACTTGGTCGGCACCCTCGGCATTCTTTCCACCCCCCCAATCAAGAGCATCAAAAACTCTCGTCGCTGTCGCGACAATCTCTTGGTGCCCAAATCAGCCATGTTCCCAAGTGTTGGAATGCCCTCCATTTTCAATGTCTTTGTTTTGGCCTCAAGCTGCATCCATAGGTACCTTGTATCAATGCGCTTCAAACGACCAACTCCCAGCCATTCAGTAAAAGTCCGGCAATAGGAACTGTCCGCGATGGCTTTGATCAGCACTGGCCTCTTGCTCAAGAACTGCCAAAGCTCCTTCAACTGCGACGCTTTCGGCTGCACCACCTGCGGAAGCTAGGAACTCAGCTTCACAGGAAGACAGGGCAATGCTTTTCTGTGACCTGGACCAGGCTGCAATCAGACATCCATTCAAAAAGATCATGGTGCTGCTCACACTGTGAATCGCTGTCCGTCCAACTGTCCAAGGCATCTGGGCCATCCAACTCATCAGGATTCCAAGCACTTCAGCTTTCTTGCTCTTGTACTAATGCTCAGTAACCTCAGTCCTGTTGAGGTAAAGGATCAAGTGTTTGAGCTCGTTCTCAGCTCTCTCTGCTGGACTAGCCATTGGGAAATGAACCGCAATGTTCCAAGCTCAGAGCGAAATCGGTGCTGGTCGCCACCTGCCAGCACATCTTCACAAGGTCCTTCAAGGTCGAATTGACTGCTCTCTGGTGTGGCTTTTCCTGCTCGCTGTGACAACTGCTAGAGCTCCACAAGGCTTTGGCACATACTTCTCATGAGGCATGATCACGATGCCCTCCTTGGTGAAGAAATGCCTCTTCTTCAGACATCTGACAAGCGCATCTTCTGCGTGCCCCACCTGTGAAAATAGGCCGGGTTCACTCAGCACAAACTTGTTCTTCATCTTCTCAAGGAAGCAAAGAAGCTCTGCTGTTGTTTGATCGTGACCTTTGAATCACTCTCTGGCCATTGCCTGCATCTCCTCTTCCGCTTACCATTCCTCACTCTCCAATCGAACACAGAGCGGAGATGTTCAACATAGCGGCGCGAGTCGCAGCGCAGCCAAAACCGCTTCATGCACTGTGGGGAGGTCCAGGTCCAGTAGCCAGTTCATCTCCACCGAGGCCTCGCTCAGCGTCCGCAGATGGAATAACTGGGCCCCCCTTCGCCCAAGGAGCAGAAGCACAATGGAGGAGATATCGCCCGAGTAGGCAAGACACCCGGAAATCTTGGGATTCAGGACATCTCTCGCGAACGCCCGGGGAGCAGGCGGGTCCAAGACCGAGGCCATGACCATCGAGGAGGTTGTGACCAAACCGAGATCAAAGGAGTGGGTCAAAGCCACGGCGAACAAGTTCGTTGTGAAGTCCACGCATCGTCGGCTCAGCTTGGAAGTCTGAGTCTGTGGATGTGAAGGCCCACCAGTGACAGAGGAGATATACCGACTCAAGTGGCGCGCTACTCGATCAGACCGCAACGCAGTCCGCTGATCACTACCTGCGGCACGTCGAGACGAACTACCAGTGGTCGGATGCCCTTGAAAGAAGACTTGGCCTATGCAAGAAAGCGTTGAAAAAGAAGATCGGTCCAGAGAAGAGAGCCCTCGAGGTAAAGTTGGACGAGTTGGACGACCTGCTGTGGGACGTTATGAGCGCTAAGGAGACAGAACCCACGCGCGTCGCTTGGTCGTATGCGTGGGCCACACATTGGACGCTTAGAGCAGCGGAGGCCGCGGTCGTGAAGGCGAAACATGTGGTGAAGTGGTTTGGAAACGCAAGGAAGTGAGGCTGTTCATCCCCAAGTCGAAGATGGACCAGCAGGCGAAGGGAGTATGGAGGACATTGCAGCTGCGGAGACAAACACTGCGACGTTCTGTGACCCTGGAACTTGACCGTGACCGCACACTTGAAGACCTTCCACGAACATGTCCAAGCGTGGAAGGATCCCAGTCCTGGGATATGCCTGCAAAAACGTCCCGTCTCCTAGTGGCGTGTACATTCGGGTCTTCTGTGTCTTTGAGGTTCTTCTCCCAAACGGCAGCCAAATAGCGAAGTCACAGTCAGGCGCCTGGTTGTTCACGAGCACTCGCTTTGCCAATGACGCTACCTGTGAACTAGTTGGTTCCTCCAACCCCATGACGGCGATGTAGTTCTGCCACCATCGATTGACATCCTTCGCCTCCGCGGCATCAATTCTGATTCATCGCATTGGTCGATCAGGGACTGCATCTTCAGGGCGTTCTCTTTGACTTTGAGTCCTGCGCCTCTGTGAGGGGGGGCGCAAGGGATCCTCTGCTACTCCAAACCAGCGCCAAGACGTCCGGTAGCAGCCACCAGCCACACGCGCCGAACAACCTTCCTAGGTGGGTGTGCTCTTGAGCCCATCAGGGACTATACTCCTATGTATGGCATGTGCACGCTAAAAAACAAAAGGCGCCTCTGTGCAGTGCACCTGCTTCTGTCTCATCGCCCCAAGCAACCTGGCATAGCGCTCCACCAGAGACAGGATTGGGTTTCTTGCAGTTGGCACACACAAACAAACCCCAGCAACTCTCTGTCTCTTTAACCCAATGCCAACCAACAGGCTCCGCCAAAAGTAACTGGGTCATGGCACTCTGACACCTGCCACCATCGGGCACCACGGGCTCCATCCATGACACTGTTGAAGCTGGCCGCATCACATTGCAAGCACTTCAGTGCTAGAGTCCTGGAAAGCTATACAGAGGTGTGGGACAAGGTTCCAAGGCGTCACAAGATTTGCCGTGAACCCTGATGTCAGTGGTGTCCTCAACAAGAACAGGCCCGCTTGCCAACGGTAGCCTTTCACAGCGGCCTTTAGCACGGCATTTGCTCCAAACATGGTGTGTTGCAAAGGGAGCTGCCACATTGCCACCACAGCATGCCAGGCAGAGTGGTGCCCAAGAACGCCAAGAGTTGTTGACAGGAACATGGCCTCAAATTATCCGCAAGCCTGTGTTGCCACGGTGAATCCTCTGACACCTTTAGCTGCGTTTCAACGCCGCACCGCGACATGCGGACTTACACCGGAACATCGCACCCTCCAAACCCCGTTTGCCCAGTCGCGTTCACATTAAGATCAAAAAGTTTGCTACGCCTCAGCTGCTCCAAGGCTGCTGGCCACATTGCGGGCGTCGCCGTGGCCTGCGTCTGTGTGTGGGCAGCCAAGATTGCCACGTCCGGCTTCACGTTGGCTGGTAGGGCTGAGGCCAGCGCCCCGGCTACTACCCACGCATTTCGACAAGCTGTGACCGCAGTGCTCCATGTTACGAGGTCGGCTCCTCCAGGATGGTTGCCGGTGGCCATCGCACATCGAAGAATACCACCCCAAACCCGTTTCAGCAAACTTGAAAAAGCAATACAATGTTCATTATTTAGTACGCTTAAAAGAATTATCCCGGCAAGAGACCCCAAACAGTGTGTGTGTGTGAGGCCTAGAGGTGTAGCAGCAGAAAGTCTAGAGATCTACACGCATTGGGTGGTTGTGATGAAGGTGGAGATCGTGGTGATGGTGGCGGTGGTGGTGAGTGTGAGCGTGAGTGTGAGTGAGAGTGAGAGTGCGAGCGAGAGCGAGAGCGAGTGTGTGAGCGCGAGTGTGAGAGTGAAAGTAAGTCTGAGTGAGAGCAAGAGTGAGAGTGCACAAAATCTGCATTTCGAGGTTCACCAAGAGCTGCGCCTGCCACGAAATCAGTTCGCAAAGTGCTGCGCCGGCCACGAAATCTGCACTTCGAGGTTCACGGAGTGCTCTGCCTGCCACGAAGTCTGCACTTCGAGGTTGCAAAGTGCCCCCCCTGCCACGCAATCTGCACTCCCAGGTTCACAAAGCGCAGCGCCTACCACGAAATCTGCAATCGAGCCACGTCCAAAAGTCCCGATTCATTGCACCTGTCACGAAATCAGAGCGCCTCGACCATCACCACCATGTCCAAAGCGCTGCGCCTTCCCTTGCGCCTGCCACGAAAAGTGCCCACCCCACCATGCCCGAAAAAGCGCACGGCGCCACAACGAGAGCGCAGTCGCTAGAACACCCGCCGCGGACACCCAGATTTTGCGGGCCTGCGCAGTAGAAATGCACGTCGCCGATTTCGAGAGGCATGAATGTACTGTAACTTAGCCGGACACGGCCGCGCCATCACCTCGATCTAGCCCCGTGCTTAACCCTTTCCGTAAGAACGCCTAGTGTGTCCACACTGTCTGGGCAAAAACTACGGTGGCAAAGAAGTGTCTTTTGACTTCAACATTCAAGCAGCCCTGCGGGCACGTCCACAACTACCGCGCGAAAATTGTCTAGCCACTTCAACAAGCACTCCTACATGTCGGACAGAATCTTCCAATACCTTTATTGACCTGGCCCATTGGCTGGAACCGTCTGCGTTCAGCACCGTGCTATAAGACACCACATCCCAGCAAATGCCTCAGACTGCAGCATAAAGTGTGCCAGCATCAAACCGAGAGTCAATCAATGAGTTGCACAAAGCCTGGGTTCTGCAGTGAAACCGTTACAAGACCTGTGCTACTCATGGGGTAAGAACTAGCTCCCCTATGAAAAGTGCGATGGTCAAGCTAAGCCACCCAGGTTCCGGGCAACCTGAAGGATTTTGGAGGCCACCGGCCAAGAACACGCTCCAGCAAGGGCATTGAAGTGTAACACATTGATTTGCAAACCCTTCTGCGCAAAGAACAACTCCTCGCAAAGTGCACTGGATGGGTGGTTGGCATGGACAACGCAGGAAGCAAGCAACGTAGACCCATTTAGATTCACTCTTCCCACAGTTTTTCTTGACTACTGCGCAACACTGGCACAACAATTGTGGAAACACACAGCCTTGCAGCAGCTCAAGTATTGAACACAAAAACATGTCTCCTGCAAAGCTTTTGCCCACCTTTTCTGACTACCTCGTTCGGTCACGCAAATCACGGCGACAGATCCTGGGGATCCCACAAATCAATTGCTACGTAAAACATGCTTTATATAGATCAGTCTTGAGTCTTGATTTGTGAAGCCTTTACACAAACAAAACGCCTTGCCCAGCTACCCAATGCCACAAGGCGCTTGGTGAGGAGTGGTGCGGTTTGCTGCCGCTGTGGCACCGGGACACGGGACCAAACCATGCGCCATCATGACAGTGAGGACCAGACCTCTACCACCAAGGCCGCTTCAACCATGTTGTTCTGTGTTCGAGTATCCCTAGCCATGTTCAAAGCACTTCGCCCCGCAAGGTTGGACTCGCAAACACTTGACGCCTGATACTCAAAATCTTGCGCTCAGGAATGCAGGATTCCGTCAAATGCAGTGGAACGCGTTCACAAAACACCACAACTCCTGTGAAGCACAGCTGGCGTTTCAAGCGCCGGGCAAAGCTCGGAAGTGTCGCCGCATATGGCGGGCAATGCTCTCCGCACTGACGGGCTCCTTCTTCAATCGCGGCATCGGCGGTATATAGATGGGGATAGGTCAAAACCTTGGAGCCCTGGTCCACTACATAGCCTGACCTCCCAGTTAGGTCAACCAAAGTATCTTGGCTTTGATCTACAGCCAGATGCCTGTTACTGGATCTTTGATTGTCAATGTGCGCAACGCTAAACAAAACCCCCGTTGAAACCAGGAGGAACGTTAAGCACGCTCATGTTTGTCAAAAATGATCCAGACAGTCCCAACAGGTCAGGCATGTGTGTAGTCAAAAGTCAAAAGTACTGACAACATCGGTCTGGAAGTGAAAGAAATCCTTGTTTCAAAAAGATGACCCTGACGGAAATGTAGTCATGAAACAATCATGACTCGACCAAAAAAGTGTAAAAAAACAAACAAGCGTGCATCACCGCAGGAAGTATTTTTCAAAAGTTTGCCTTTGGCTTCCTTCAGGTTCCACCGCAAAAACAAAATCATCAAGAAAGAAAAACATCCAAAAGAAAACAAGATACCGGGCCACCTGTTGGGTTTCAGGTTTTGAAGATGGAAGCTTGTGTTTTTGAGGAGGGGGAGGCACCACATGTTCAAAAATGGTTTTGTTGGTTTGATTTTTGGTCAAGTAGTGAGCGGCTCTTCTGGACGCAAAACCAGTAAGCCCAACAGGCGCAGTGGGCGCGAGCTTCATGGACGCAGAAAACACAATTTAGCATTGTTGCGGAAAAACACGGGTCACAAAGCTGAAAGGCATTTTAAGGTGGCGGTTTAGAGTCATTGTTGTGTTGGGAATTGGGTACGTTTTGTCTTCTTATCTTGTTGGTCCCTTTGCGCAGGCGTTGGATCCTCGCCATCATTTTTTGAGGAGACATGATTCATCACCCTTGGTTTTACCAAAGAAATGCAGAAATACGCCGATCTCCTAGAATGGGCCGCTCTGGTGGTCCAGTGGTCGTGTTGGCTGGGTGCTTGATCATCAACAAGATGGCGCGGTAAACCCGCCAACACTGTTGCCATGCCTCAAACGTCGGAGGTCCAGGGATCTCAGTGGTCGTCCAAAAGGTTGAAGGTTGAAATTGCGAGCTTTCATTTGCTTCTGAGACCTCCTGCCATAGGGCGTAAGTACGCTGAAATCAGCGTGAGGCGGCTCGCCTCTGTTCTCCACCTTCGCCTGAACTGCCCTGACCTGTTCTGGAGTTAGCACCTACAGCCTCCCGATAGCAACGATAGCATACCTCCAACTCGGATGGAGAGATCAGCTCAACCTCTGTTTGATCCAGCTGACCCACAGCCGCACTCATCTTGACTTTCTTCTTCTGCTGATCTCCTGCTCCCGCAGCCACGGCTTCTGGAATTGCAGGTGGCTCCACTGGCACCAAAGGATCTACATCCTGAAGGCTGAAAGCCTGTCTAGCCTCGCCATGTCATTGCAGCCTGGGTAATCTCCACCGCAGTCAAAGAACGATCAGGTTGGCCCGCGGTGGTAGGAACCCGCGAGCGGCTCACTGCATCTTCCAAAGTCACCCTCGGCAGTGTTACCAAGATGCGGATGGAATTGACGCCACCCAGACAAGCCGACAAGGCATTCCACGGAGGGTCCTGCAAACCAGTCCAAGCCCAAATCTCATTCAGATTTGTGAGGGCGGCCAGTTAGAATGACCTTGACGATCAAACTTGACAGGAATTGGAGGAGTTTGCAACGAGCAAACAGCACCTCCGCTAAGCGTCACCAATAGCGCTGTTGCCCCTTCCGCGCGCTCCGTTAACCGTCACTGATAGCGCTATTGCCCCTTCCGCAGCAAAGGCATGCCAGAGGAAGGGATCACCACTTAAGCCAAAATGGATCGAGCTCAAGTAGTGATCCCTTCCTCCAATGTGTCTCCCTAAAATGTCCTTCCACCATGAAATGGTTCCAAAGAGAGAGTAACTCCAGCTAGCTGAAGCTACCTTTCGTGATCAAAGTGATTTGCATGATGCTTGATGTTTTGCGAGACCATGGCTGGCAATTGAACAGAATCTTGCTTGGCACTGGTTCCTGTTTGATGTTTAGTCAACAAATCTTGATGAGTTGCAGGAACCACAAAGTTTGGGTGATTATTCGGAGAAGGGCCGCGCAGGTCGAGATTTCAGTCTGAGAGCAATCAAGATCCCCGTCACGTTTGCAGGGTTTCTGAGACGCTTTCACTATTCATCACAATTCAGGGGGCCACCCCTTCGCAATTCCAAGGCAATTGTCCAGACAAGCCCTTTTGGTTTGCTTTTTGCACGAATCTGCTGCCCTAGCAAATTCAGCGCATATTTGTCATATTGAGTTGACACAAGTCACAAGAGTGCCTTTTTGACCTTTTGGGCCCCTTTCGATTCGTAACTTTGGTTTGCTATGGGAAGTACATTCCGACAAAAATGGTGCGTTTGCATTTCCAGAGGTTTGCACATCACAATGGGAAGACATGAAAAAATGACCGTGTGAAGTGTTTCAATCGAAGAAGCAACAACCAAAAGTGAGTCAAAACAACGGTTCCAATTTCTTTTGATTGGCCACAGTTTGTTGTTTGGCAGTTTTTTCATGTTGAAACAGCACTTTTGTTGAAAAGTTCTGTTGTTTGCTGCCCGATGGTGTTTCGAATGGGAACTGACTGTTCCCGGCGCTGGAGGCGCCACTTATGGCGATCCAAGCTCTTGGAGTGGATGTCATCCACGAATTTCTAAGGCAGTGAAGAAGCAGATCCAGTCCAACTGGAAGCGAAATTCTTTGCGACGTCTTGTTGACTGTCTCGGCAATGAAAAGTTTCCTCGAATACAAAAATGAATACTGTATATAAATAGCAGCCCCATGTTCTTTTCATTGGATTCATTTGAGCTAGCTATAGCTAGCTTCTTGGTTTGATGAAGTCTTGTGAGATCTGCTTCGGATGTGTTGTAGGGCCCCTGCAAAAATGAGTCTGCCAACAACCTAGTGACAGATATTCCTTCGGAAGGCAAGGTTTTGGAAGTATAACAATGATTTGTATTTGTGTGTGTTGTTTTGGTTTCTTTGCGGCGTTTCCCGGGCACATTCAAACACATTGAAAACATGAACAACTGTCTGCAAATAGCAAATCTTTGTCTGGTTGAAGATAGGTTCAAACAAAATATATATCGTTTGTCAGAAACAAATGTGACTTTTTTGTTCGGTCTGTTTGCCTACGCTTGCCTATCGTTCTTTGATTTGGGGCTGCAAATTTGCTAAAAGTCTTACTTGTTGAACGTTGATTTCGATTGGTTTCGGGCAGCGTCAGGCAAGGGGGGACCACACTAAGCCAGTGCTGCAACTTCTGGGACACATTCAATAATATTCTCACAATACTTATAGGATGATGAAAATAGAATGACTTTACAGCAAAGCACGGCTTTCCCCAGTCGGGCAACATCAAGGGGGACCCACGAAGCCTGTTCCGTTACTTGTTTGGCACGCAATGGAATCAAAACATATTCCCACAATACGTAACGATACTTTGTGCTTGCTGATGGAAATACCAAGAAAATGACTTTACAACTTACAACATTACCCTTTTCATAAGATTTCCAAGTTGAAGGTGCTGGAAACCGCCTTTTCCCAGAACTGTTGTGTGAACACTATCGACACCGTTGTTCGGCGCAACCAAGACTTACGTTTAAGAGACTCTAAAAAGTTTTTTTGGGCGCTCCGTTAATTCTATTTCGTTGTTATTCTTCTGGCATTGCTAAACAGCATGCATAATAACAAAATGACAACTATAACTAGACGTTTTTCTACTTGAATGTCATTTTATCTTTGTGTTCTCCACTTCAATCAGTGCAGAACCCATCCATACCCATGGTCACGGTCAAAAGTGAGGAATTGTGAGCAATATGGGCGAACAAAATGACGCATAACAGTTTTTGTATTTTCACTCCATGTAATATGTATGCTTTTACCATGCACATATGTATAGGATGTCATTGCACTCACTTCTGCAGCTCGCGGTCCAAAAAGGGTATCGTAGCTTAACGGCTGTTTCTATAGGTTATCAGCCGTAGTGCTCTAACCACAGCCATGGACACTCTTGCTATCCCTGGGAATGCCACATCATCAGTCGCTGTGCCAGCCGGTCTCGTGACTGAGCCCCGTGTAGATCTAGACGATCCCATGGGTTCAGCCCCGGCCACGGCATACTTCCAATTCGTGCAGCAAAACATCCAGCAAGTATATAATGGCAATGAGGGATGCCATCATCGCTGAGGCTGAACGAAGACACAAGGAGGTATTAGCACAATGGATGGACACGGTAAAAGCCAAATTCCACCAGGCGATTCTTGAGGTAGAAGGCAGACACCACGAGGAGGTGAGTTCAGTGAAACAGCAAGCCCAATCTAGCTATGACAAGTTGCAAGCAGAGCTTAGCGCTGCCAAGGCACGGATATTCAAGCTAGAAAACGACAGAGCATTGGAAGCTGAAGCAAAGAAGGCAGAGATGCATTCTCTCCGCGCACAACTCACACACGAGTGTCAGCAAACGGTGAATGCAATCACGGAAAGCGCTGAGCAGGGTGTAGTGAGACTTCGTGCAGAGTTCGATGAACGAGAGCTCAAACTTCAGCGTGATTTGAGAGAGGCAGAAAACGACAACTACAGCCTACAACAAATCATCGAGACTTGAGGGCTGACAACAAAGTCACTGATGAGCCAGAGTATGTTCCGACGAGCATA